AGCATCGGCCGGTGCAACCAGTAGCCACCACCAGGCGGTAAGCAGCAAGTCAGCCAAACACGCAACTGGTGACAATGCCATTGACCTGGACACCAAGAACAGTGTCGTATCTTCGAACAAGTCGGGCGATGGCACTGGACGGGCGTCGAGCGCAACGCCTTCGACCAATTTAGACAGCAAACCGACACCTGATGCGGACAATGAACAAAACGGTAAGCAGTTAAGTACACCATGCAACAGTGGCATCCATCGTATGAAAAAAAAACACTAGATACAAATCGCAAGTGCTATCAATCCATATCGCAAAGCTATTCCTCCTAAGGCTAAGGTTTTCGTGCTTCAAATTTCAGTTGCTTTTGTGTCAGGGTCTATTTACAGCCCGTGTATTTTCCAGATACATATGGCGGTAATTATTGTTTAATTGGGGGTTTGTTTCTCAACACATAGACAATTAAGACCCAACTTACTCGGGGCTAAATCTTCCTGTTGACTACTGGGGTTAACTAAAGTTTGACAGCATCATTAACGGGATATGCAGCTCCGTTCAAGTGAACTTATTGACGGAAGTTTACAAGTCGCGTAATCGATAATGCCAATCGGGCGTAGACGTAATGAAAAGCATTTGGCAAGCCTGTTTCCTATCATCCACTAATCTGAACTGCCCAAATCTTGACGAACTACCTGTTCGTTTTGCGACTTTTTTTTTATAAATTCCTATCCTTTCTTATACGTATAATTTTCGGACTACTGTTGTTCGTTTTCGATGCACACCGCCTCAGCAGAAACTGCCAACTTACTCGCTGGTCGGCTGAAGCCATTAAAAAGTTCAAGACGCTTCAGAAGTACGTTCAACCTTCGTGAGACTCATGAGGCATCTTATAATAGGGTTTCGTTCTGTCCTAAGCCACCGGTCATCGTTTAACTGTATGCCACTAAACAACAATAAATCGAAACCATCACGTTACCCAACACAGAATAGAGTATAGAGAGCGGGAGCGAACGCATTTTATTCCACATCCCTGTATTATTCAGTCTTGATAGCCTAGCATGTAGAAAGTTTACTTCGACCGGAGTAGAGAAATGTAACATTAGCTTCGT